GAGGTGGTATATAATACTTGTTACACAATGCAGATATCATCAGTGGTACTGGATGCTTGAGGGGTCAGAAGTGGGAAAGCCAGGAACCACTTAGGAACTGAGAATCTGAGTGGTACTTCAAAAGCTTCCCTAGTTAAAGGCAGAAGAGAAAGAAAACAGTCATTGTATGGTGTTTTATTCTTTTGGCTTTTGAGGGAGCTACTACCCAGTCCCCAAATAAATCACACATGGAGGCTTATTCTTAGTTATGAATGTGTGGCCTTAGCTTGACTTGTTTTTAGACAGCTTTTCTTAAATTATCCCGACCACTTTTGCCTCTGGGCTTTTATCTTTCTCCCTTTATGTATACCTTTCTTTGCTTCTTTCTCCATGGCTTGCTGTATAGCTGGGTGGCTGGCCCCTGATGTCCTCCTCTTCTTGTTCTCCCTATTTCCAGATCACTCCTATTTATACTCTCTGCCTGCCAGCCCTGCCTATCCTTGCTTCTGCCTCACTATTGGCTCTTCAGCTCTTTATTAGGACCATCAGGTATTTTAAACAAGCAAAGAATCACAGTTTCACAGTTAATCAATTCAGCATAAACAAAAGTCACATACCTGAAAATAATATTCCCCAACACACAGTCTAGAAGGATAACATGAATTAAATGTGTGGGAAAGTGCTGGGATAAAACATTGGGAGATATTTGGGAATGGATCAGAGAATGTGTAATGACAAGTAGGCACAAAGGTAGCAATGCAAGAGGATGTTACAGAATTTAGCAGGCTATATTTTTATACTAATGGAGTGGTTAATGGGGACTTGCATATGGTTATTAGGTTATTTCTCATTCTGTTCAAAGATGTGGGATATTTAATATTTTGTTCATTCATTGCTAGGTATGTATCAGCATATGAAAAAAGTTATTCTTGTAAAACTCATACTCTAAAGGTGACATTTTAGAAAAATAACAGTAAACCTGGAATAGTCACTTTAGTGAATGAGCAAAGTGAATGCAAGAGAAAGGAATGATGCTTTACCATATCTGATCACTGGATATAAATTTAGTAGACACAGCAACAAGTGTAATTCCATTTTTATATTCATTCACTTAAGTATTTTCTTATTCACCCCTGGTGTGCAATGTTACTGAAATTAAGTAGATATACTTACAATTGAAATAAATGTCAGATATTTAATTCTGAAAGGTAAATTCTACAAAGCTGAATTTTGTGTTATGAGCAAAATTTAAGGCAGGTCCTAGCTGAATGGCATGGATACATGTTAAGCCTAAATGGATATATGGTCAGTTTGATCTACACCACAGGGAACTGTTAAAAAGTTAAGGCTTGTATTGCATAGTCAGATAGCAGGGCAATAACTTTTAAAATATTGAAATGGAGAGGAGACGAGGAGGAACTGGAAGGCAAGCACTTGATGCCTGGATGTATGTTCCAGCTAGTTTATGGGACAGCTGGGAAGATAAACACCAGAAAAATTAGGACAGAAATGGTGCTTTCATTTCTTCTTTGTGTGTGTGTGTGAGAGAGACATTTTTATTTATTTACCTTCATGAGTTCAACTGCTCTTCAGTATGTGCCAAAGGCATGGCATCCTGCCCATTTCTTTGGTATTCTTGAGCAAACTCCCACTGGTAGAGTTCTTGCCATTTATCATGGAAAACAATAAACATGCGAATCCCAATAGCTAGTTGTCACAATTCCTAGAGCTACAGTTGAGAGATCACATACATTTCGAATGGTCCACAATGGATTTCTGATTCAAGCAGTATTGTGACATTATATTTTATTGTTAGTATTTTTTTCTTGTTTCTTAGTAGACCCACTCTGTTTCCAGCCCATAGATAGTCAAGACTATTTTCTGTTACTTTTCAAAAGTAAGAGAATCTATTGAATGCTGAGATAAGGAAGCTGAGAGGTCTGAGATGCAGGCTCTGAAGGGGTGGAAATGCTGTGATGAAGGGATTGTTACAGTAGGCAGGTGAATGGTTCTGGAAATTCATCCTTATAAGGGGGTGGACTGGGCAGGCTGCTTTGAAAGAGCATCTCCACCATCAATTTCTCTTCTTTTCCTTATGGCTGGCATCTCTCTAGCCCATTTTTATTCAATTTTGCTTATGGATCTTCTTTTCCTTCACATAAGTACTTTCTGGATGATTGAGCTATAACTCAGTGAAAACCGTGGAAAATAATAGTGTTTTGTGAGTCTGGTATCTAAAGTTCAAAATGCTTTTCTCTCATTCATTAGGGTTATAACATTGGGCTAGACACTTCAACATTCTTCGCTTTAGTTCCTCTTATATGAAGTGAATATTGATGCTTCATTTACTGTCTGTCTCAGTGGAGGATTAGATGAGAAACTATCAGTGGAAGTCTATTCTAGGACTATGATGGTTATTGTTGTTATTATTATTTAGAAGCACTATAGTCTACTTCATACCTTGAAAGTGATAATATTCCTATTCAGAGTCATACTTAAAAACATAGTTTATTTGGATTTTTATAATGAAGTAAAAATTGTAATATATTCATTACTTACTATTTTATTGCTGAGATAAAATACAATGACCAAAACAGCTACAGAAGAAAGGTTTATTTGAGCTTATAATTCCAGAGAGAGTTCATGAGGGTGGAGTGAAGGAAAGGCAGCAGGAAGGAAGCTGAGGGCTCACATCTTGAACAGCAAGCACAAAGCAGAATTAACTCAAAACCTGCCTTCAGTAACATACTTTCTTCAACAAGGCCACACTTTCTAAATATCCCAAATAGTGCCATCATTTGGGGACTCAGTATTTAAATGCCCAAAGCGATGGGGGACATTTATTATTCAAATCATCACAGTACAGGTGTAAGTTTTGCATTTGTGTGTGGCTGTGTGTGCAAGTGTTTGTGCATGCACATGTGTGTGCGAGTGTATGTGCAGGCATGTGTGTGTGCATTTGGAATGAAGTCAGTGCCAGGTGTCTTCCTGAGCGCTCTCTAGTTCTTGAGGCAGGCTCTTTCACTGAACCCACAGCTTACAGATTTGGTCTAATCTAGCCAGTTTGCCTGGCGTATCTGTCTCACTTCTTGAGTTCTGGCATTCCAGGCAGCTGCCACTGCTGCCAGCCATTTATGTGAGTTCTGGGAGCCTGACTCTGATCCCCACATCGGTGGAACAAGTGGTTTATCCACTGAGCCATTTCCCTAGTTCCATAGAGGAAAGTTTTGAAGAAGCTCCAGATTGTTGAGTGTTTAATAACGTGCCAGAATGCTAGTATTTTTAAAGAGACATATAATAGTTCCTGGAAATATCTGAAATACCCACCCTTTTATAGATTTTAAGTATGCAATTTTTTCTAAATGTCTAACCTTGAATGCTTAAATAATTTGCATACTGTTTTCAATGGCATGAATTAAAGGCTAATTGAAGTATAATTCTTTGCAGTAAAATTGTATCATCTTTTATGTAGTACATTTAAAAATAGTTTATGCCAGTTCTAATTTTATAGTTTTATTATTTTAATTTAATGTACCAAGTAATTAAAAATTGCTACAAAGAAAGATGAAAATGATTTTACTTAATTTCTCCTCAACAAACTGAAAAGATAAATGGAGTAATGGAACAGTGCCCAACACAGTTCCTGGTACATAAAGATTGTTCATTAGCTGATCTTTAATGAACAAGAATGAGTAAGTTTTAAGTATTTCTAAACTTTGAGAAAAGGCAGTATATTCAATAAAAGAAGGTAAATTGACATCTTTATATTAAAATCTTTCCATACTGAGGTCACACAAAGCCATGTGTTACTGGACCATTAGCAACTTGGTGTGCTTTGGTTCTTTTCCCCTTTGCCCTGAGGGTAGATTCTCAGGCCTACGTCAGTTACACACATTGAGAGACAACTCTGCATGAGTGATTTCCAGTTCAGTATATCTTGTCATGCTGCTCTTTGCTTGGAGCTTGCTCTTCAAGGCTGTTTATATGCATAGACAGCTTTAGAAAGACAGAAATGGCCTTGCTTTTTAGTGCAGGTCGGCTTATAGCCTTGGAAGATAGAGGCAGTGCTTCCCTGCAACACAAAAGGCAGACATGGATTTGTTTAGTCTAGTAAGACTACTAAGTGCTCACAGAAGTTTTAGGTTTCCTCTCCTGTGCCACTTGTGTTTGCAGAGGCAAGCTCATCCTCATTCTATCTCTCAAGGGGAACTTGGAAACTGGGACTTGGGAAACTTGCTCAAAAAGGGATGGTCCTTTTTGCTGCTGCTTACTTCTGTTGAACAACGAACAACAAACTATCTCCTTGTCTCTACCAGGAGAGAATGAGCAACGTAGGGTTGTTTATGAAACGTGATAAAATCAAGAACCCATGACCCAGAGTACTGGCTGAAACCATGAAGTCTCTAGCATTCCTCATTTGATGGAGGTAGTTGGATGCAGATAGTCAGAGGTAATGGAGGAAGGAAGAATAAGTTTCTAGATGAGAAAGGATTCTATGAAGCTTTCAAGCTGCATAAAGTCATTCATGCTTATTGAGGCTATAAATAAATATAAACTAAAGCTTATTAGTTTATTTATTGGATTTTGAACCAAGCATTGGCTTTTTAGGAGCACTTTAGTTTTGGACCTTAATGCCTTGTTTAGTTGAATTCATCTAGTAACTGAAAGCAAGCCTATTTATTGTAGGAGAGGTACATGGCAGAGTGGCATTTTTGCTCACTGGGCTAACTCCACCCCTCTTTTATATCCATTCCTGTCCTCCAATCTTTATGGTTTATATAAATGTTTCCCTAACAACACTTAGGAAGCTCAAATCTCATTATCAGACTGGTCAGAGAACTCTGGACCTAAAAAGTCTTGGTTCACTTTTACTTGAATTTGAATGTATAAAGCTGCCTCCTAGAAATATGGCTCCTTGCCTACTACCCCACTGTAGAGACACCTGGAGGGCTGTTGCTGAGATCCACTGTAACTTCCTACTAGCCACATGGTTTAAAAAACTGTGTTATTTATTCCCCCAGGCACTTCTATCAAACGCCATCGGATTACTCTCCCACCTCCTGATGAGGATCAGTTTTATAATGTGTTTCACTTCAATATCAACGCAGATGTTGTCTTCTATGGGCGCACATTCAGGATTTATGATTGCGACAAATTCACAAAGAACTTTTTGAAGAAAATAGGAATCAAACTGAATCCTCCATTACCGCGCCCAGTAGATCCCTACATGAAGATGCGAAGAGAGGTGAGAAGTGGCACATTTGTGACTTCTTGTGACCAGGCGAACGAGTGCTGGCACTTTTTGTTGCAGACACAGAAGAACATTGGAAACTGTAGTTATGTCTTTTTCTTTGGATAGAAAGGAAGACTGAATGGTGGCTGCAGAGCAGGAATGACCCCCCACCCAACCCCTCCTTGCTGACTCCCTTCACCCTCACCTGCAGTTCTCTTTTGGAGCCCCCTTTTTTAGCTATAGGAGTATTTAGTGAGCTGCTTAGGTGAGGTAATGTCTAGGTGCCCATAATTAGTTTTGTGGTCATCAATAGTATATGAATTGAATCTACATTTTTTTCTGCTTGTGCTTTCTGGTTTTAGTTGCCTCCTTCTGGCTGGGAAAAATCTTTCTTCTGTGCCTACTGATCAAATAAACCAAAACTTAAACACTTTCTCCTTGGAACCCTGTGAGATTGATGGTGAAATATTCTCAAAGAGTGAAGTAGCCATGATTTTTATTTTTCTCTGTTATAAAACATAATTGCATTTAAAATCTGATTCTATTGTAAGGAGCAAAGAGTCAGTGTTATAGTTCTGCAGTTTTTAAAACTGATCCCTTGACCCTAGTTTTCTAAATGCTGGGATTACAGTTGTATACTACCACCCCTCACTACTTTTTGTTGTTGTTGACATATAACTGCACATGGCCAAATATACTGGCATTAACTATACTTAAGAGTGAGTCTTAACTTGTATTTAAACTCTGATGATGAGCAGTTCCTCATCCCCTCCTCCCAGAAAATCCCCTTATACACTAATAGGCCTTTCTCTCCACTCAAGGACAACTATCGTTCTCATTGCTGTTTCCAGTAATTAGTTTTCTCTGAATTTTATTGTTTCCAAACCGTAGAATTCATTTCCTTTCAGAATAACAAAATTTTCAATGAAATTCTCCTTTGATTCTGTTTTTATCTCTCATTCAAAACTACATATCCCTCTGCACCTGCGTCTTAGCCTCAGTGGAATTATTCTTTGATGATGTAGGCATACAATCCTCCCGTAAAGTATATGTATTATTACTCCTGGAATGTCTAAGGTAAAATGACTTTGTACCACTATAAAAGGAGATTTGTAGGTTTGAACTCACTTTTACATCTTGCATATGTCCTGGATGATGAATACAAAGTCTTTAGATGTCCCAGAGAGAATCTGAAGGAAAAAGATCCACAGAGTCACTGCTCCTTACTTATAGCTATATGCATTTACCAACTGTTATTATTACACAGTAGTGATTGAGAATCATATTTATTATATGAGTTTCACAGAACACTGTCAAATTGTATAGGTTTCTAAAGAAGAAAAAGTTGGTGCCAGGAATTCAAAATTGAACAAGAACAAGCAAATGTTTTAAAAAATTTCTTTCCAGACTGCAAGAACCATTTTAGCATTCCATTAGGGCAAAGAAAACTCTTCAATAAATATAAGAATCTAGGAAAATTAAGACTTTAATAAGAGGTTTTTAAATAGAATTTTATGGATTTAGATTTAGTTTTTAAGTGTTTGCTACCTTGATATGTGAAGATAAATAACTTCATTAAACTGAGTGGTATATGATCAGTAATGCTTTTCTTAACAATCTTATACATTGAAAGCATTTTAATGAATGAAGACAGAAGTTCCATAATTTCATTTAAATAATAAGGATACAGCTTGAAGATCCTCTATAAAGCTGTTGTGTTTTCCTCTTGAGATAAGCTTGTACCTAGGCTGCTCTAGATAGGTACAATATTTCAAGAGTTTATAGAACAACTATATAATTCAATTAAAATAATAACATTTCTCAAGTGAATTTTTCCTTACATAACAATATCATTTGCTTATACCAGATAGGATGGAGGTGGCTATACTCTAAGACAGGGCTAAGAGGTTACAAATCGAAGAAAAGATGCATCAAGAAGACCATGGAATTCACTGTCTCTAAAGCAGAGTCCAGGCAAAGAGGGTTTCTATGTGGGCTCTTAGTAGTTCTCTATTTGCTCTGCTCCTATTTTCACTGGGCTTCCATTTCTTGGATATCTGAAGTTTTCGTGCAAAATTAAACCATAAATACATTTCTTCCTCTTTGCAAAAAATATAAGCAAATGAGAAACATGCACAACACACACACACATACACACACACACACACGGGGAATTTCTGGTCAAAAGACACATTTTAAAAGTTAATATATAATCAGTTTAGGAATGAGTATCAAGATTTTAAATCAGTGCAAGTCAGTGATTTGGAAAGTGTACAACAAAGTAACCAAAATGAAAATTTTAAGATGTAAAATATTTGGGGTTAGGGACGTAGCTCACTAGTAGAACATTTCTCCAACATGTATAAGACTGGGTTAAATCATCAGCATGGCCCCAAAGAAAAGATACAGAATATTTCCCATAATTTCAAAATATTCTTTTGTTCACTTTTCTTTTCAAATCCCCAGATATTGCCCTTTCTTGTTTTATCCCTACATAGAAATGATTACTCTTCTGGTTTCTGTCACCATAGATTGGGTTTGTCTATTCATAATAAAGTTGTAAGTCTTTGAGAAAAGTCAGCTTCAAACATAGCCCAGGAATATAGTTTAGTATGTTAAAATAATCTTCAACAAGGTATGAAAAGCTTTCCAATGTTTGTCTATATTCTTAAGGTTAAAACTGACTGTGAGTTCATATATCTGTACGCCTGGATCCATATATCTGTACATTATAATATTTAGTTAAATCTTTTAGAAAGTATGGCAAAATAGTCTACAGAAAAAAATTATCTTTGTATTATTGTTTGCCTCCCAGAAATGACTATATAAACCCTGCAGTATTTATAACATTTTTTTTCCATTTGTAGACATTAGAGTTTGTGGATCCCTTTCGCCCTTATCAGTCCTTTGACACCCTGAAACGGTTCCTTCAGTTTGATGGAAAGGTTTTGCGTTTCTTCTGCCTGTGGGATGACTCACACTCACTGTTTGGTGACCGTAGAGAATTAGTCCTACATTACTTCCTGTCTGACCATACTATTGAAATCAGAGAATTACTGTCACTTAACTCAGGCCGAGAAGCTACGTCATCATTCCTTCGGAGGAGCAAGCTGCCCAAGGTAAGCAGTTTGAGGATGTCTGTGGATCAAGAGACTTGTCATTCATTGTTTGGAATGTTGTATGATGGCTCATGTGACACAGTTACTGTATGCTACTTGGCTAAGTTACGGCTTCTGTTGCTGTGCTAAAACATCATGACCAAAAGCAGCTTGTGGGGGAAGGGACTTTTTTCTAGCTTACAGTTCCACATCACAGTTCATCACTGAGAGAAGTCAGGGAAGGAACTCATGAAGGGCAGGTACCTGGAGGTAAGAGCTGGTGCAGGAGACATGCAGGAGTGTTGCTTATTCATTTGCCCTTTATGGCTTGCTTAAATTATTTTCTTGTATCACCCAGGATCACTTACTCAGGGGTGCACTGGCCACAGTGAGCTAGGTTCTCCCATATCAATCATCTATCAAGAAAATGCCTTACAGGCTTGCCCACAAGCCTATGTGATGGAGACTTTTCACAATTGAGATTTCCTTTTCTCAGATGACCTTAGCTTGTGCCAAATTGACAAAAACAAGCAAATGAAGGAAAACACCCCCCCCCCCCAGGGGAAGAAGCTAGCTAGCCAGCACACTTACGCAAGGAAATGAATAAACTTTTGTTGTTGTTGAATTCACAGCAATTAGTAATAAGAAATTTGGGATACTCTTGAAGTTAATTGATTGGCTTTGAGTGGGACATTGCTATCCTGCATCCTACCAAGGAGACCCCACAGGATTGATCAGGGTGTGAATACACACACGTACATACATGTGTGTACTCTAACATACACACAATATGCAAAGGAGTGAATCACAATTCTAAGTATAGTGAGTAGCCACCAAGTAGCCAGCCACCACCACAATGATGACATTGGCATTTTCTTTACTATGAAAAAGTTTTGTCAGGCTTGTTTCTATAAACACTTGTCAGAATTTGAGAAGGAAGGGAACTGGCACAGCAGGAATGACACCGAGACAGACCGGAATTAGACTTCTGGATTTGTCTTTTGATAGCCATGTGAGCATGGGCAAGCCACTTAACCTCTCTGAACATATATTTCCACACCTTTAAAATGCAGATAGCAGAGCTTCCATAACTAGAAGGCTTAAAATGAGATGATATATATTGAAAGCCACTCTCTGAGCACCCATTTCTTAATACCTATCAGGTTACAGAGAACCAAAGCTACTTTTCACAGGTCTTTGTTGCATTTTATTTCTGATTTGGATAAAATATTTAAACTTCATTCTTGCTGTTTCTAAAAAGGTTACTAGGAGCACTTGTTTCTTACGCAAACAACCGCTGCCATTCAGTCCCCCAGGAGGCTGCCCATAGTCAGTGCCTACTGCCAGAAGGCCTGCTGTGTTTCTTCAAGGCTGGGGGAAAGAGGTAGAATTTGTCCCTGAGGGAGCTCTAGAATATGCACAGCAGGCCTCCAGGAAAAGCCAGGGAAATCTGTTATTAGAATGTCTTTGAAAAATAGGTTAAATATGAAATAATGATGCGCCTGACATTTGTAGTATGTCTTGCAATCAGTAGCTTTATTTTATTTACTTATTCAAAAAATATTTGTTGAGTTCTGTTTGCCACTTTTTGAGCTATAATGAAAAAGAAAATTGCTTATGTCCTGCTTTGTGGAGGATAGATTCTCACTGGGGTGAGATCCAGAAGGGATGGGTGTACCCTTGGCTCTCAAAGCAAGGAGTAAGTAATGCTGCGGAGGCGAGAGAGTTAAGAAGCTGAAGTTCTGAGAACAATTTAGGCTGCTAGCTGTACTCCGTTTCCTACACTCAGGACTGGATAGCCTGTTAGACAGAACAAAGAGAGGTGGTGAGGAGCTAGACCTTCTTCCTTGGAGATGTTTGCACTTGGGGGATAAAAAAGATGACTGCCGCCGGGCAGTGGTGGCAGATCTCTGTGAGTTTGAAACCAGCCTGGTCTACAAGAGCTAGTTCCAGGACGGGCCCCAAAGCTACAAAGAAACCTTGTATAGAAAACCAAAAAACCATAAAAAAAAAAAAAAAAAAAAACAAGCAAAAAAGGATGACTGCCTGTACAACAATTGGAAAAATATAGAAAGTGGCCTGAGTCCATGGTGTATATTTTGGTCAAGTCTGGAAATGGAAGCAGACAATGGATTGAGTCTGACCAGACATCTCCATATGTCTGGTCATTCAATGGAGAACTAAGCAGATGGCTACTTGCAGGATGGAAGGTTGGCTGTGGTGATGTGTGCCTATAATCCTATCAGGTGAGAGGTAAAGAAAGATCAGGAGTTCAAGGTCATCCTAAGATACTTTGAGTTTGAGGTCATCCTCAAAAACAAAACAAAAGAACAAAAAAGACGAAAACCTATAGGATAGAGGTTGAAAAAAATGTCTATTGATCAGGATTGTGAAGGACATGTGGTAGTAGAACAAGAGATGGATAGACTGGCTTCTCACAGATGTTAGAATAGAGCTATGTGGTGCCCATTTCTGGCATGTATCCTGGGACTCCACCATCTCTGTATCTGGAAATATGTACCATGTTTGGATTTTATCTTACAGTACGGCCCACCTGGAATATTTCAACCAGGCCAGATAACAGACCGAGCAGTCCTCAATGTGTATGGGGGCTTGTCAGAATGGCGAGCAGATGGCTATCTGTTGGATAAATACCAGGTGAGAAGTCTGGGTTTTTGCTACTGATTCCTATGTGACGTCTGAGAAGTCTGGATGTTGGGGTGAATTGTATAGTCTTGCCTTGTGAGCTAATGAATGAAATCAAGAAATATATAATTATATTCATTCTATTGCGCTTTGTTAATAATAAGCATATTTAAATGCATGTAGAAATATATGCATTAAATTGCATTGCTTGTGCAAGCACTACAGTGTTAAAAAGATGCCTGGGAGGGGAAAGTGCTTGCTGTGCAAATGTAAAGACCTAAGTATGGACCCCTCCCCAGAACAGATGTAAATTTAGGCATGGTCAAGTTCATCTGTAATCCCAGTACTCCGATGAGTGATATGGGAAACTGGGGAGTCCTCAGCTGCTCAAAGGCTAGCTAGTGTGGCATACACAGTGCCTAACAACAAAGAGATCCTGTTTCAAAGGAGATGGAAGGTAAACATCATCACCTAAGGTTGTCCTCTGACTTGCATGATTCATGTTGAATATAGATGTACACATGAATCATGCACATGAACATGCATGTACATACACAATGCATCACACACATAGGCACAAAAAAGATAAAAAATTAATTCTTAGAGTTGATTTGATTTTAAAATTTAGTTGTAAATGATGATTACAAAAATCATAAGGTGATTTTTGAAAGATTTTGCTCAAGAGAGACCTTGGTGAGTCCCATGGTGGGTGGGGGACCATGTGAGAAACAGAATACATGCGATGGAGACAGAGTGTGAAGCTTTATTAAAGGGGGAGGAAGGGAATGGAGGAAGAGAGAGAGAGAAAGAGAAAGAAAGAGAGAGGGGAGAAAGAAGCAGAGAGCTGCCTCTTCAAGGAAAGGGCATGAAGAGAGGGAGAAACCAAAGAGAGCAATGGCAGGAAGCAAGAGATTGGGAGTGGGCAGAGCTTATCTCTTAAAGGGACAGGGTACTGACAGGGAAGTCCAGTATAATTATAACAATTTTAATTTTTTCTTGGGAAAAGGCACGTATTCTTGGGCAGATTCATGGGGCTAATGCTATTTTTCCTCTGATTATCAGCTAGGAAAAGTAGAGCAAGAGTTTTACACAGATCGAGACCTGAAAATAGGTGCCACCATCAATGTGTGGGGAAGGACAGTCCTCCTCTGTGACTGTGATGAATTTACCAAGACCTATTATAGGACAAAGTATGGAGTTGGTAAGTGATGCTCACACTGGTTAGGAAATATTTTTAACACTTTATTCCCTACTTAAGATTTTCTTTTTTTCTTTTCATATTCCTAAAAACAGGCTTCTAGGAGCAGGGTCATTGTCTCCATGTTAGAGGTGAAGAAACTGAGGTCCTTTGAGCTCAGTTGTCCAAGGGTATGTGATAGAGAGAAAAAGCCAAGAATTAAACTGTCTCATGTTAGGGGCTTCCATTTCCTTTTAGAAGCTTCTTTCTCTCTATAGTGTATGGTATTCTGGTAGAACACTTGAACTAGAAGTGTTAGATCCCTTCTCTTCATTTAATTCTTGGTTACCACAATGGAGGACATTCACTTGAGTTCTCTAGGGAAATCTCCTGTGCCAGTTAGCTTTGCATTTCTTGGTGAGGTCTAGCTAGGCTTCCTGTTTCTCTTTCCATAGGTATCAATTCCATTCCAGGCAAGGAAGTTGAGTTGAGTGAAAACTAGTGATTTATTATGTACGTACTATGTGTAGGTCAGTGTGGTAGGCCAGAGGTAATGCAGAGTTATAGAAGAGGCTTGTAGTCTAGAAGAGGGGATCTGAGCCCTGCACCACATTATGCAATATTATGAAAATCTAGAAGCAGGCAAAGGATGCTCTATAAAATCTAATATCGAAACATTCATTTATTAAACTCCCACTTCTACGTACTTTCTAAACCTTGTCTGTACTCATGATCCATATACCTGCTTCTGCTGTAACTGGCAAGATTTGCTGACCTAACTGGATGGGGTTTGGAATTGTGATAGTGTCTAGTACTCTATGTAAGCCTCCTTCAGTATCTGCAGGGAATTGATTCTAACCCTTCCTTCATAGCTACCTCTGAGAGATGCCTAAGACTTTCACTGAAATGATGTATCATTTGCAAACAACCTGTACACATTGCCCTATATGCTGTTTTATGTATGCGTTCACTCATTCATTCATTCAATTTGAGACAGGATCTCATCATATTTTTCAGTCTGACATTGAACTTGCCAATACTTCCTCCTTAGCCTCCTATGTAACTTGGGTAACAAGCAGGTGCCTTGCTACTTTAAATCAATTTTATATTACTTGTGATACTTCAATATAAATGCTATGTAAATATTTGCTATTGTTTATGGGAAAATGACAGGAAAAGAGACTATACATGACCAGTACTGATACAGAGCTTTTAAAAATCCATGATGGGCTAAATTTGGGTATGTGTACTACATATCTGGAGAATTGATGTGTACTTCTTTGAACTATGGCTTATTCACTTAAACATGCTCTGTGGGTGATAAAATGAAGCTGAGCCCCTGTAGCTTCTTAAAAATAAGGTGCGTTAATATTTTGTTTCATTTTGACCTTTTTTTTTTGTCTTATTGATTTTTGCTAGTTTTTCATTTTGTGTTTCTTGTGGGGGTTTTTGGTGCAGGAAAATTATCTATAATCTGTCAATCATGTTTTAAGTAAACACGGATTGGCCAGACAGGAAATATAGGCTGGAAAACCAGACATGAAGTAGAAATGGATGTAATGAGAACAGGAGAATTCTGAGAAGGAGGAAGCTGATTCCTCCCACTCCTGCCTAGACCATCAAAGCAGGATGGGACCTGCTTCACTAAAAAGGGTACTGAGCCACATGGCTAACATAGATCAGAAAAATGGGTTAATCAAGATGTGAGAGTTAGCCAGTGAGAGGCTAGAGCTAATGTGCCGATCAGCTTTATAACTTACAGAGATCTTTATGTGATTTTTCTCTGGGACTAAACAGCTGGGGGTACAGGCAGAACAGAAACCCAAACAAACAAGCCGCCCCCTCCATGTTGCAGAATGGTGCCCAACGTGGATAACTGTATCCACAGAAAGCCTGAGAAAGCTTGGGAAAGACTAAATATTTTGGTTTTCAGCTGTGGTAGGAAAAAAGTTGCTGTTTTAAAATGCCGGCTTTCTGGGTCTTCCTTGCAGGGAAAACTCTGACTAGTTCAGGCGGTCCTGATGGATACACTGTTGCAGCTTGCTTCCTGGCAAGGACCTTGAAACGCCATAGAGTTGTGGCAAAAAAAAAAAAAACAAAAAAAAAACAAAAAAAAAACCTCCATATTCCTTAGCAAATTAAAGACCCATGTGGTCAGAAAAAGAGAGATATGCAATAAAGAAAGATTCAAAGAGAAAGAAAACCTCCAAATGGTTTACAGTGTGTTAAAAATATATACAGGCTAAAGGTTAAAGTTCTCAGAGTAAAGAAAAAAAAAAAAAAAAAGAAAAGAAAGAGAGTAGCCTGGGAGGCAGAGACAGATGGATCTCTGTGAGTTCAAGGATAGCCTGGTTTACAGAGGGAGTTCCAGGACAAAGATACAGAGAACCTGTCTCAAAAAGCCAAAAAGTAAAAGTAAAAATAAAAGAATTAGAGGTTAAAATAAAGCCATGTAAAGATGGAAAATACACAGAGAATCTTGATATTGATACTGTATGTTACTATGCTCTCTTTGAATTGTTTGAATGCTGAGGAAGGAGCAACAGCTGCTAAAAGATATTTGCTTATAAATGCTTCAGAATTAATCCAAGATGGGTATTTTGAAAATACCTTGACTTTACAGTTGAAGTCAAAAAGTATGCTACTTACATAAAGCACACAAAGTGATTAGAATGGAAAGGACTTCTAGTTTTCCTTTCAGATTCATTAAGGGGATTGTTTTACCACATCTGCATGCTAGATTGATGAACATGTTTGTGTATGACAAGAGTCAACTTGGTGGCTGTACTTTCACTTTAATTTTTAAAATTGGTTCTCTTTATTAGACACAATGAACATATTTATTTTGAGGATTATAAACCATCATCCAGGAAGTTTCTAGTGGCCCGTAAATCATTGGGGAAAAGAATTTGCCATTAGTGAGTATAGATATCTGTTTATAATTAGTACACCTTCAATGAAGATGGAATATTTGATGATGATTCACAGAAAACCATTACATACACGTAAAGATTACTCTCATAAAAGGATGTAGTAAAAGATTACAGATTTTCATAACAACTCCAAGATAGCATGTGATTTCCCAAACTGAGTTCAAAATTTGGCTGTTTGTCAGCTTAATTTGAGAATGCAGTATTTACATTAGGAAAAAATGAACGCTGTAGTAGAGGTAGTTGGTCACTCATCCATTTCTTTCGTAGCTTCTACAGAGAATTTTATGAGGTAGTGTGAATTTTCTGGTATGTCCCAAACCTAGCTGTTCTGGGTAAATGTATTGGTTTTAAATTCTCTCTACTCCATTCCACTTGAATCTGTCCTTGTGTTTAATTTCTTTTAGTCCATTTTTCTTTGTTCCTTCTAGACTGTATTATATTATGTAAAAAATGTACTTTGTGCCTTCAAAGTTAACACAGCAGCATATTTTAAAGCAGAAAATTATATAAATACAAATTTAGGAAGCATTTCATAGTCACACTGACTTTTTAATACTTCTTACAACATGCAAAAATGTCTGATTTAACAAATACTATTACAAATGTTTTGAGTTTTAATACCATACTTAATGTTACAAATGACTATAGAGTATATCCATAGTGAAATCTGGAGAAGTGATTCACATTCTCTAATAATCTTTACATTTGCTTTTTTCTGACTTTTGTGAAGTTAAATTTATATACTTCCTGTTACTTAAATTAGTTATTAGTTATTTCTGGTATTTAAAAAATTAAAGAATTGATCTTTATTTTTCTTCATTACTGGCTGTGACACATTGGTAAAGATATTTATAAGGATGAGAAACTTTTCCATGTACTGTAACATTTGACATAAACATTAACAAGCAATTTTAATAGAATTAATGTGATAATAAGGGTGATAATTTTGTTGGTAATTCATGTGGTCTTAAATATTGATAAGATAGAATTTTATATACTATTTTTTACTGTTACTGAAGCCTAAACCAGAACAAAGTGCCACCAGTAACTATGACCCTGGAAGAGGTTGTTTGTGTATGTGTGTTTCTATCTGTCTGTCTGTCTGTTTCTGTCTGCCTCTCTGTCTCTGTGTGCAGGTGTGTGTGTGTGTTCCTGTTGGTAGATGCATGTGTCTGTATGTGGTAGCAAAAGATCAATGTTGGGTGTCTTCCTCAATGGCTCTCTACCATAATTTTGAGACATAGACTTTCACTGAACCTGGAGTTCACCAGTTCTGCTAGACTGGCTGGCTAGTAAACCCAATCTCCCCATTGCTGATATTATAGGCAGATGCTGTCGTGCTTGCCTGTTTTTTACGTAGATGCTGGGTATAGAACTCAGATATTCATGCTTGTGTAGCGACTTTGCCAACTGAGCCATCTCCCTAGCCCCCAGGGGGCAATCTCTAATGCATTATTCAGCCTCAGTACTTTAGACCTCTGTCTTACATAATAACGTTCCAACTTAATTTAGGAAAGAAAAAAAAATGGTAGACAAAGAAAAAGAGTTGGCCACAATCCAAGGAAGATGTATGGCTATCTTTTCTGTTTGTGTAGAAGTATAGGGTTTGATAGAATTCTGAAAGACATTTGAGCCTCTAGATAAGAAGCAGTCCCATAGAAAGATGAGATTCTTTCATTCATTTTAAGATTCCAAGGAGATGGTAATTTCATAGATGTCTTACACAGCTTTGTCCATTGTAACGTCTACATCAGCCAGTGTGGCCATCTTGCTGCTGACGGCTTCCCTGACAGGATGGAGTAGTCCATTCCCTCATTGTTGACGTGGACAAAAATAGATGGGCAGGTAAAAGATTGTTGGTTTTTCCTGTAGATGAAGATTTTAAAAGGTTCCAGGGGCCTAGTTTGTCTTTCTTGGCAGTAAAAAGACAAGAGATCTGAATTTTAACTATTCTTATCTAGGAATTTATGCCTTAGGTTATTTATTAATAAGATTTTTCTCTACTTTCTACTCTCTCCTCCCATTCTTTACTCTCTCTCTTCTGTCTGCTTTCTTCTAACAGTCTTGCTGTGTAGTCCTGACTGACTAGGTACTCACTATGTAACACAAGCTGGTCATATGTTCATGGCAATCTTCCTGACTCAGCCTCCCAGCACTGGGATTTACACGCATATTGCACCATACCCAGTTTATAGGACTAATTTCTGATCATTGATTTTGGTGATTGGTAAAACCAAAGCAGTAACAATCATTCATTCTCAAGGGTTTTGAGTCTTTCTATTGAGACTAAGGTTAAGATAATTTTAAAGCACATTTCATTTTCTGTAGTCAGTTCTGGCCACCTCTGCACTCTCAGGAATAGAAAGAAGAGAACATGGCAGAAGACAAGTCAGTGGTTACTTGAGGAAACGAGCAGCAGAGACAGAATAGTGTATGGCTTACCATGTGGCCTTGATGGACTTCCCAGCTTTACTTCTTTCACTCCCCCTGTAGAGATAGTAAGGATGGTTGAGAAATAGAACTTTGAATTCTGACGGTGTAATTCACTAATTGTTTGGTCTAGGTATTGACTACAAGCTGAGATGGATTTCCTTTGAAGCTAAGGAAGGTTTCATAGTTTTCAAGGTTCTTCTTTTATATAGGGGGTCCTAGTCAAAGGCTCTGGCCTAATTTTATCTTAGTAATTTGACATTCTTTGGCTTGAATGATTTTTTTTTTCAAAATTACATAAGCTTCGGATTTTCTAAAGTCTGGTTCTATCTGTGGGATATTAGATCACATGAGATGAAAGTTGAGGTATTTTGTGCCTTTCACCAATAATGCTTCTACCAGAAATGGCATATAGAATCATTAAACTCCATTTCTATACAGAATCTCTCTGAAATTTGTTTGAATCTACTCAGTCATGGATGAGCATTCAATTCATGTGTACAAGTCATTTGGAATGAGAAGAATCAGTGTATTTGGAAGACATGAGTGTTTCAGTGTCTACCCAAATTTTAGTTAGAAAATACATTTGGGAAGAGGCTTTGTACAAAAGGTGTGCCTTTTTATTTGCTCAACATTTCTGAATATCTGAAATAGGCAGGGTAGATGGGGTGATGACAACCCAATGGCAGCCAACGTCATGTATTATTCTGTGGCTTTGTGAACCTATGTGAGCTACCAGGGAGATTCAATTTAAAGTTAAATCTTGATGTAGAGTTTCCAAAAAGGATCTGTATGATGTTATAAAAGTCAAGGGTGCTAAAGTGGAACAGCTGTCATTTTTTTATACACTAGATGGCACTGTGGGTGCAGAGGAAAGCCCTAAATTGGTTCTTTTGTTTCTTAAATCTGTTGCAAAAATTAGGTAGTTGAGAAAACAACACCATGTTTTAAGACTTGTAGTGAAGGCTATAGAATATATTCTTAATGACTTTGCGATGAAGAATTGAAATCTTCGGTTAGTGCACTAAGATTAGTGTGTAGTATAATCTTGTGGCCAGTGCACTCTGATTAGTAGGTAGAGTTGTATGTATATGCCCTTGTTAGAAGAAACTGCTCAGGCCCCAATTTTCTAATTACATAAAGCTTTCCTGCCATTTCTATGGTACTTGCCCTGGAACAAAGGTAGCAAACAGTGGTGTTTTTGAGGTAAAGGTGAGCAAGGATAGAGTCTACTGCAGTTCAGATTTGAAGATTTGGGCTTTTCTCCTTTACCAAGATGTCTCTTTAATCACAAAATGAACATTAAGAAAGGTTGATGGGATTCTCCATAAGAACACACTGGTTGTCTCTTTTCACTGAGCCACGGAAAAATATTTTCTGGCAATTCCTTTGTCCACATGTCTGCTGTGAGCAGTTTCTGTTAAGATGAACCAATGCTCTTCTGGGGATTGTGCCTCAGGAAATCTCATACAAGGCAGCTAGGAAATCTAAGAAGAGTTGAAAGCTGAAAAATGTTTTTAAATCATAATTAGAAATGGCCTTATACCCTTAGCCTTTTGATCAATTAAAAACCCACTTAACATTGGTGTGCATTTTTTCTAATGATGTGTACCAAAATCTTGATTATTTCTTCTATTAGAAGTTTGACTATGGAGAAGGAAATGTTTACATTTGTAGAGCACTTTTTGTTCATAACTGAAACACCTATCAAGCTTGGGGAAGAAAGAAATACAAAGAAAGAAATCGGTTTTAATTTTATTTTGGGAAATGTTCTAGAATCTCTTTTGCCATTTGTAGTAGGTCAAACACGGTGACTTGGATAGATTGGGTCAGTATGTTGTTTGTTTTAGAAAGCACACTTGGTTCTTAAAGATGACAACACCATAAATGATTACCTAAGAGCTTGTCCCACTCTCATTTCTAACACATGATAAGTAAAAAAAAAACTCAACAGTATTGATCATATCATGCTCCATTTGAGAGTGTAGGCAATTGGGTATCTCTAACTGTTTGGGGTTTTACTTCATTATGACTACAGTTGCAATCTTATCTTGAGCAATAACATGAGTGACCTGGAACATGGCTGGTGACAGGAAGGGGGTTTTGTTTTGTTAATAGACAGTGAAATACAGTGTCTTAGAGTTGAATTGGAGGCAAGGAAGAGGGCTTAAAAAAGTGGATTCAAGGAGGAGGAACTGACCAATGGGTAAAGTTAAAAGTGAGGCAGTTGGAAGCCATTCCTATTGGGAAAATAACTTTTATTAGTGAATGTTGTCTGAAGATAAGAGAGGGCCAAATTGCAGGTTAAAACATGAAATTGATAGGATAAATTTTCAAGTTGAAATTTTCATATTGTTGAAAAATCAAAGGAAGAGCAAAATAATGTTCAGAAATGGGGGTGTGAGGTTATTTGATAAAGATTTCTGCTGTTTTTTTTTTTCATTTGAACCAATGACTAGTAAGTGAGCTCTGTGGTTGTTATAAACACGATTGAAACCTACTCTCATGTTTTGTTTGAAAGAGTTTAAAATAGTCTACAAAATCTTCATGTTCATCTTGAAATAATAACAGACCTTTCAAAACAGCCATAATCAGGGCAAAAAAATATTGATGTTTTGTTTGCCTGTGTTTTGTTATAGATGATTTTACCGCTATTTCATGCAAGCCTCCTCCTCTTCCAAAAATAGAAAGGAAATACCCACCTTACACTGGCTTTGGGTCTGAAGAGGATTCTTTCCGCTCCTGCGTAGGCCTCAAGCCCACACCTCATCGGAGGAACTTCAAAAAGTTGATGGAACTAGACAGGTGCCTGGGGGGACCTCGATTATAGTTCTATCTTTCCCAAAGATGTTATAACCTAACCCTGTCACACAGCTCATTCAATTTTGAGCCCAGGGACAACTTATTGTAGCTTTCCAATGAGGTTGAGGAATGTGTGGGGATTGACAGTTTCTCTCTTGAGAGTTTATTTTAATGTGTGATTTGGACACCTCTAAAGTCCTGTCATCCCTGGCCTGATGTCTTTCCATATCTGTCTGTCTTTCTCTTGGAATAATGCAGGGGAGAAGTCACCTGATTTCAAGGGTCAGAGAGCACATCGCTTTGAATTTCTGGGCCATACGCCCTCCATTACAACCACCAGATATGCCATTATAGTGTGAAAGTTACAAGGACAGAATGTAAACACATGTGTAATTTTGTGTTTCAGTAAAACATTTTATGGACATTAACATTTGAATTTCATAAAACGTTTACATATCACAATATATTATTCTGATCTTTTTCTTTTCAACCATGTAAAAGTGTACATTTAGCTCAAAGACTTACAAACACAGGTGGCCAGCTGGATTTGTCTCACAGACTATGGATTGCCAACCCCTACTAGAGAAATTTCAGTGGTTTGTTAGTGTTTTATGACATGTAATTTTAGAAAATTCATGTTGCTCTGACTTGAAAGATTTGGTTTGAGTCCAGTAAGAATAGACTGCTTACATTGCTGAATGTTAATTTCAGAAGATAGATTTTCCAAAGTATTCCTAATATACACGAGGCACAATCTGATCCTGAATCGTTCATGTAGAACATGGGCACTGGTTGTGGCCACCTTTTGATTCTTCAAGATGAGCAGGCCTTGAAGAAAAATCTCAGGGAAAAGTTGTGGGAGAGCCTTGCAGATGCTTGAATAGGATGTAAACTAAAAATTGTGGCTCTGTGTGAGGGAGATAATGGGTTGGGAGATGCTAGGAGAGAATAACAAAGGGAACATGTGTTAAGACTTGAAGAAGAAAAAGCACTCTTAAGTTGGTCAGATTGAATGGGGTCCCATGCTGTTGTCAAAATTTGAAGGAAAGCGAACTAAGTGTTATGCTGTATCTATAAAAATGGTTTAACTCACTGTCTGCGAATAATATGGAGTGTGGGAAGGTATACCTTTGCTGCGACATGATGTCATTTGTCTTTCAAGAACTCACTGTTTATTTTTAAGAACTTTAGAGTTTTATTTAAATTTCAAACTCCCATACTTGGGAGAATTAATTAATTAATTCGTGTGCTTCTGGATGGATGAGAAAGAAATGTTGGGGCGGGGCCCAGCAATCTCTTTATACAGGCACCCTGGGGCATCCTGCAGCATACTAATGTCTGGGAATCAACTGCATTTTACATGGAAAAGGACATCAGTATGGCCGTGTTCTTTTGTTAGCATTAGGCTAGCTTTCAGGGTAGACTTGGATGGCCTCTTTTTCAGTAACTACTGTTTGTAAGGACTTCCACTTGGAGGGTATGTACTAGAAGAATGTCCTTATTGTAAAAGATGAGGAACATTTTCTTATAACTAAGTAATATGAAATATTATTCAGGGTATTGCTCTGAAACCCAGGGAAATTAGTTCTTTGTGAATAGTTGACTTAGTTTCTCTGTCTGCCATGTAAAATTTGCCTCAGGACCCTAACTACAGATGGAATCATACATGTAAGTTGGACTCTTGGGTTGAAGGATGGGGATATAGGCACACATGTCTCGAATTTCATTCCTTTTCTTCACTGCTTGTTTTGTGTCAGGAATACACTTCCCTCTAGGTCCTCATACACAGTGACCTTGTTTCCATGGTAACTGGCACAAACTGGATGCACAGGACTGAAGTGCTTTGTTTTCTTTGTACCCACAATACTCTGCTGATCATACTTCTAATAATCATAGCACTAGTGATAGCAAGCAGTTAGTAGTTTGCTTTGGATTAACTACTTTATAGAATCTTATTTTACCTAATCCTTAAAACAGCCCTAGAAGAAAACAGATTATATTCTTGCGCCTACCTTCCAAATGAGGAAAGCAAGACACTAAGAAGCTCTGCAACTTGTCCAAACTCACAGCTAATTTTTAGTTGAACTAGGAAGTGAATCCAGGAAAACTTCACTTCTGGAGTTTACCTTCTTTGCCATAGAATCTGTATTTATTACATGACTTGGGGATTACTCACATATGTAATTTCTGCACTCCCCCAGGCTGAGAGTTCCTAGATGTAAGAGACCGATTTTACTGTTTACACGAGAGTTAAAAGAATGCTGGCGAATGTTTCATCCAATAAAAAAATGGGCATATGAATAAGTACAGTGGTAGACAAAATGCTTGCTAATCCTGTTCTTTTGAAAATATGTCTATTGTAGAAGTGTCTTGTCTGTCTGTCTGTATGCTCACCACATCCATGCTTGTGTGTTTCTGGAGGTCAGAAGAGGCCATCAGATCTGGAACTGAAGTTATGGGTAGTTTTGAACTGCTATGTGGGTGCTGGGAACTGAACCTGGGTCCTCTTCAAAAACAATAAGAATCCTTAATTGCTTAGCTATCTATCTCTCCAGCCCCACTAATCCCGTTTTTAATGATGGATCAAAGTAGAAGGACCAGATAACTTCCTTACAAGAAAGTTATTTCATACTCCTACTATTCTGACCATATAGATTCTAAAAAGTCATGGTTTTTTAATTTTATTATTAATCTTTCACTGGTTTCAGGTCTTGTCCATCTTTTGTTTCCACCAACAGCCCCCTTAATTTTTCCTATCATTACCTAACAAAAAAGGTCTTCACATGCTTTCCAATATGAAAACTTATGTATCTCTAGAGCAGTGGTTCTCAACCTGTAGGACAATTCCTGTGGGATTATATGACCCTTTCACAGGGGTCACCTAAGACCATCAGAAAACACAGATATTTATATTACCTTTCATAACAGGAGTGAAATTACAGTTATAAAGTAACAATGAAACTAATTTTATGGTTGGGGTCACCACAACATGAGGAACTGTAGTAAAGGGTGACCACATTTGGAAGGTTGAGAAGCACTGCTCTAGAGCTTTTGTTCTTGTTTGCTTTTGATCTTTAGAAAATTCTTAGTTATAGGTGAGCTTGGGGTGGGGGTGGAGGTCAACAAATATGTCCCAAGAACCTGCTGTGTGACTAGCATTTACTTAGGTATTTGTGATATGTCAGTGAACAAAGTAGCCATGCAAGCACATCTTCCCTCATCAAACGTCATTCTAGTTGAGGGAAATATGCACGAGAGGCACCCAAGTACATCAAATAGTATATAGAATGTGGTAAGCACCACATTAAAAAGAAAAAGCATTACTTTTCCACACAAAGGATCTAGGAGTACATAAATAATGAATATCCCTAGTTGAAATTTTCAGTGGTGCTCTGATAGATTTCTCTGAGGCAAAGGAACATAGTACATAGTCCAAGCAGAAGGAAGTGTCAGTATAAATGCTCTGAACAATGCATCTGACTAGAGTGTGTAGGAACTCTCCAGAGACCAATGTGGATGGAGAAGATGAGGGAAGAGCAAGATGTATCTCACGAACATAAGGTGAAAGATGTAACAAAATGTGAGGTCACATAGGTTTTGCCGGCAATCATAGGGACTCTTGATATTTAGAAAGATAAGGAAGAAGCATTGGGAGATTTGACCAGAGAAATGACTTAATTAGGCTGAACTATTGGAAGAATATCTCCTGTACAGTGTTAAGAATGGACTATACAAAAATGATAAGTAGATTTATGACAACCTATGAGATTACTTCAATAGTCCAAGAGAAAAGTTATCACATCTGGATGGATACTGTTGGAGGGATGAAATGAAATGGCAGGTTGTGACTATATTTTGAATGTAGAGCTAATAAGATTTCCTGATTGATTAGACATGAGGTGTAAGAAAAACAAAAAAAAAGTGAAGAGTTATAGATGTCTCAAGATTTAGACCCAAGTAATTGGAATGGTGCCATAGGTAGATTGGGTTTGGGGACTAGAACCCAAGTTCAGTTTTAGAACAAGTTGAGATGGCAATTAGGTATCAAGTGAAGATGGGTGTGGTCTGTATTGAGGGTATTCAGGAGACAGGTCTAAACTGGAGATATAAATTTGGAAATCAGCAGCATATATTTACCATTTCAGTTAATAATGCCAAATTATACTAAAGTTTCAGACTGTAAGTTCACCAAGGATGAACAAATGTCAAGAAGTACATGAATAAACCTTGGGACATCCCACATTAAGAATTTGGAGAAAAGTGAAGGAACCATGGAAGAAGGATGGCATGGGGCAAACAAGGAGATAGGAATGACATAGAGCTAATAAATGCATAGTGCTTTGAGCCAAGTGAATCAAGAGTGTCATGGAAGAAGTTGCTGATTAGTAAAATTAGATGCAAAAAAGGACTAAGGTTGGGATGTGGCATTTTGGGGATGATTGTTAGTTTTTGTAAGAACAGTTTGGGTAACAAAACCCTTTACCAATAGAAATGGATTTAAATGAAAGGAGAAGGGGCAGAGAATATGACTTACTGGCATATTTCAGGCCTTGGATGCCATTCCCAGCAGGAGAAAGACAGAAGGAAAGGGATGGTGGGGGAGAATCCAATGCAGTGAAGATAGGTAACATTGGGCTCTATGTCAAAAACATTAAGACATGCATCCTAGATCTAGGAATTTATAATTTGTTTTGGGATAGTGGTAATAAACACATTTTAAGACAACCAACTACAAGTACAGGACTGTATAGTGTTAAATTGCTAAATATGACATCATGGTTGATACAAGAGATATGAGTAGTTAATCACCCGAAATGGTGAAGATTGTGATCAGAAGTCAGGCATTTGAAAATTGATTAGATGAAGGAAATATTTGAATATACTTTCCTACAATTTTCCTTGGGGACCATCTTGTAGTTTTCTGCAAATATAAGCTCACTTGTGAGCCCATATCTCTAGTGATTAGATTATGGATTCTGCATATATAATAAGTTTTCCGGGTGACTTTTATGTACATCAAACTTCATGAATGGCTCAATTTTATTGAGTAGGTTTATATTAACAATTGATGAGATATCCAGAATACTACAATTAAGGGGGAAATGAGTGATATATTCAAATATTCCCAGTAAATATATGCACTTATAAACTTAAGTTCTAAGAAGTTATATTTAAAATAGCATTCATTTGGACTTAGACTAGACCTAATTAAATTGTTTATTGATATTTTAGGCATCTGTAACTTTATGAGTCTTTCATAATAGGGGACTGTTGAATATTAACCTGTAAGTTGCATTAGGTACCAGAGAAGGTAATTCACAGAGTATTGCTGGCCCAAATAGTCTATAAAGTCCATCTGAAGCCTTGGAACTAGGCACTTAGGAAAATCCAAATTGTGAGCCCACTGGTGGTTTTGTCCAGACTACCCTGGGATGAGATTTCCAAACTGCTGTGCTCTATCTCATATGAGGCCTCAAATTGGCAATCTTGCCACTGTGTTTTCCCAGCTCACCTTCCTATACAATTTAAGAAGGGGGTGAAGGAGAGCACTTTATGTCTCTGCAAATTAGAAATACTTTGTTGTGGTTTGTATCACTGTGAACACAAAGAATGGATTTCAGGACAGGAGAATCTACAAGTTATAGGGAAGTGATGAAGGGCATGATTGATTTTAGCGGACACTTTCAAAGGTAATGGTTTTGATTATCACAGACCTCCCAAGGCCTTACTATTTGTTGGAGGGCTGACTTTCACTGACTAATAACTGCAGCTGTGCCTTTACTGAAAGACCATGAGTTACTTAGTTCACTGCTCAGGCAACCAACTTTGGGAACTATTTCTTTTATTTTTAAGATAGGGTCTCACTGTGTAGCCCAGGCTGGTATCAGACTCATAAATTCAGCCTCCCCAGTACTGAGTCTACAGGTGTGTGTTACCATAGCTTACCTGAGAAAAATTTTAAATTTTATTTGATTCCATCTCTAACCCCCCTGTTCATTCATATAGTTCTAAGTATTTCTTCTAATCATTATGGGTATAACTTTCTGCAAATAATTAGTGTAATACAGTATAATATAAAACAGTGTCATAGCGGATAATGGTTAAAATAAGACAGGACTTTCTCATGAAAACAGGCATGTAATGGCTACATACAATGCAAATAATAAGTGTATTAAAATGGAGACATGGGCACGATGTTTTTGAAGGGGAAAAGTTAATGTTTTCCTTGAAAGCAGTTAAGAATGTTCGTGGAGAGATGGGAGTGATAGGGCAGAAAAATCCTGGACTTGAGGCAGATGCCTCAGGAGCCCAGTAACGTATGTCATCTGGATTGACTCTGGACATTGTGCTAAGTGTTTATGCCTCTACCTGACAGAATTACTGTGATTGTTGACCAACTACATGATCAGAGGACAGCTGATTAATTCACCTGCTTTGAGAAGGTGTTTATGGATTTTTTTTTGGTTGTGTACAACATGTTCGTGAGGGTTCATGTCTATGTCTGTGCACATGGAGGGCAAAAAGGCAGAGATCAACCTTAGTACTTTCCTGGAGTCACCTAGCTTGTTTTTTAAGATAGGGTCTTTCATTGGTCTCAGGATTCGACTCAGTTGGCTGAGCAGTTGCTCCAAAGACCTGCCCATCTCTTCATTCTAATGCTGAGATCTCAGGCATGTGCCACCAGGAATGGTTTTCAGTATATTTCCCAGAATATGAAGAACAGGAAAGATTTTAATCTATTGAGAAAATTCCTTCAGTGTTTAGATTTAGAACCTTAGAAAGAAGATGTTTAGACTGTTTAGAAAAGAATAAATTTCTTTCTTAAAGCCATGACTCACATTTTACAATATATATAATGTTTAAAGTATTGCTTGTACAATGCTTTAACTCTCATTTCTCTTCTATTTAGCTATGGAAACATAAGTAACACGCTCCGGTATTTTGCAAAACTAGTCACAGAAAAATGTGCCGATTTTGACAGGATGTTTGTTATTGCGTTTTATCTTGGTGATGACACAGTTTCAGTATTTGAACCTATAGAGAGGAATTCCGGTAAGAGACATATGTTACTCATCATTTTCCTCACACCATTAACCACCTTTCCCTTTCGAAATTAAGGAGTATAATCTGATTTGATAGCCTAGAATATCTGTGATGATAATTTTCTAACCAATAAACTTCTTCTTACATCAATGTCTTAAATATTAATCCAAATATATAAAATGATAAACAAAGAACAGCTGGGATCAGTTACCCAAAGGAAATCCCCTTTGCCACTATCATTTCTTTTTCCGAGGCATTCCTATGGAACTTCAGGGCTTCAAAATCATGGTTTGACTACCACCAATCACACTCCTAGCCAGAAAGCTAAGGGAGTGTTCCATTGTCCCACTTACAAAAAATCTTTGCCTGATTAAGAAAAGAATACAAGATATACAAATTTAATCTCCAGGATCCATTTTTCTGTGTTACTTCTGTTTGTTCTGGCTATTACCAAAGGTCCTGCCCCCAGGCCTGTGTAATGTTATCCAGTATGTTGATCTCATGGCTATTGCTAAGGACAGTCATTGACTTACAAATTTGGAAATGTTCTTGGTTTCAACATGTTTACAACTTTTATCTGTGCTGAAGACATATGTTTGAGAAGAATAACCAGCTCAACTAACTCTTTGGGAAAAAAATAAGTAAAAATTTGGTTTGTACCATTTGCCAATTTACGTGTTGTGAATATCCTGATCAAGACCAGTTTCAAGAAACCAACAAGTTTTTTTTTAAAAAAAAAAAACTGACATGCAAAAGTCTGAAAATGTAACAGTCAAGTCATATACTTGAACTTCTTTAGCCACTTAGTATGATAATGAATAATGGATAATTTGTACAACTAAGTGAGGCCCTCAGTGTAATTTGAATAACAGAACATCTTAAAATATAAAACTAAATAAGGATGAGCATATGCCATGTTCTGAATGGTCACAAATATCAATTCTGTATACTTAGAAAAGTAATTATTGTAAATGGAGATTACTCTTTCATTTCCCGGCTGCCCAAACCTGAATAATAACACAGAAACTGTATTAATTACAACACTGTTTGGCCAATAGTTTAGGTATATTTCTAGCTCACTTTTCCATCTTAGATTAACCCTTTTCTATTAATCTGTGTATCATCACGAGGCTGTAGCATACCATACATGACACCAACTGACTCTACCTACTTTCTCTATATATCTCTGTTTCGATTTCCCACCTGGCTTTACTCTACTAAACCTTTGGCTGAAACAGCTTCTTTAATAACCAATGGTAATAAAACATATTATAGCATACACAGGGGAATCCCACATTATCTCCCCTTTCTGTCTAGGTTTTAACGTTAACATAGTAAAATGACATATAACAAAACAGGTATCAAACAAGAGTTACAGTTATAATATTTATATCCACTTTATTTTTTATTATAATTAAAGAAAACAATAGTTATAACTATCTCTTTTCAACTCTATCAAAACCTCCAGAAGGATATATTACCTAGGTAAACAGGAAGTGCATTGTAAGCAGCTTCCAAAACTCTAGAATTGACAGAGACATCTTGCTGCTTGGACAGTCACCCGAAGTTCTTCTGTAATGTTGGAACATCCTTCTTCAGCCTGTAGGTCCATAATATCTGGCAGACTTTTCCATGAATCAGGAAATTTGAATATCTGTTTTGTTTTGTAATGGCACCATACAAGTTCATAAGATGCTTTCTTCTGTGTCCTACAAAATGTCTGGCAGCTTTTTCATGAAGCAGAAACCCTAAAGGACTGTCTCACCTTTAGGGAAGTAATTTTTCTGTGGATCCTACATGTCCAGTTTATACAGCATGCCATCAAGCAGTCCAAGAAATAGCAATTTCTTTCCCAAATGACTAACAAACTCCTTAAGGAGCCTCTTTGATGATGCCCATCTTCCTCTTGAAGTAGTTTGATGCTGTCAGGAGCAGATGAGTCAATCTTATTTTTATGAAAAATCCTAAGTTTTTAAAACATTTTACATGCCATATTCTGTTAGTCTTTAAAAGGTTTGAAGAGTACCTAACTGAAATACATCTCTGTACATCTAGAAAACCTAACTAACATGACCACATGCTTGACTATTATAGATGATTATCTATTAACCTGTATTTCTTAATTATACATTACATTTTTAAATGAGCCACACAAGCACAATACCTTAATCAGAGCAAAAATATACATATAACAAAATTGGCCTTAAATATGTATCAATAAATCAAGATACATACCAATAAAAGTATTTATCTCTATAGCATATCCCCTATAAATATAAACAAATATTCATAAACAATCATTTAGGGAATTTGAGCATTGTTCTCTGATTGGGGGTGCTGTTAATAAGGTCTTTTATGGGATATCCTGTGTGGTAGGTTCATCTCAGCCAGCAGTCCTGAAGCTGTCATGGATGTTGCACCATCTGGGCCATTGCTTCAGGAGGTCTTATTTGATCAAACAATATTAGCCACTAAGGAATCCACAGCTTTCTATCCTCTGAGGAAACAAAAGCAAAACTTCATTTTCAAAGCAACATATCCTTAGACCCAAATATTGAAGTCAAAAAACCTTTAAAACATATATGTTGGTTTAGCTTAGTAGCCTGTACAATGAAATGTCTCTCTGTACTTAGCTTATATGCAGTCAAAAATTTCAAAGAAAACACAATAATTTACATAATCCAGACTCTCTGTGTATTTTCCATCTTTATGTGGCTTATTTTTCTTTTTTTTAACTCTATTACTTTTTAATATTTATTTTTATTATCTTTACTCCTTTAATCTACGACTTACTCTGTCTCTTTAAATACTTTGTTTTATTTTTAAAACTATTTATTTCTTTTTATAACTGTCTATACTCTTTTTCTTCTCTGTCCCAAACCTATGTACATTTTTAAAACACATTGTGACCCATTCAGAGTTTTTTTTTTTTCATCTGAATCTGTCTTTATTGTGTATCTGTAATCACTTTCTGACCAGGAGCACCTTTTATTTTTAAATGCTAAGTGGGCATAGCTAGGACTAAGGCTGCTTTGCCTTTTGACTCTGCCCAGTCCAACATGGCAGAGGTATATTTGCCACCAGCTCTACAAGCCATACTTTCTACCCTAGTTCCAGCAGATCCACTTCACAATCAATCAACCTTTAGCACGCTGCTCACAAAGCCCATTCAAATGCTCCATAGCAGTGTCTCCCAACAGAGACAGAGCCTTCCATGCCAGCATGAACCAGGAAGCCCTCCCATAAAGAAGGCATGCAGTCTTAGTTGCCAATGTTAAGTCAGGAACACCTCTCTTAAAGGAAACTCAGAACCCCTGCTTGCCACCAGTGAACAGAATTTACCTGGAAAAAAATGCAGCTATCAAGAAGCTGCACTAAACTCATTCTTTTGTGTCTAGAATTTCTACCCAAACTCTCTCAGGTTTTATGTGGATGTAGTTGCCACACATTAGGCACCATTTTTTGAATGGAGACTGCTTGTTTGTTTCCCACTCACCCAGACCTGAATGATAACACAGAAACTATATTAATTACAACATTGTTTGGCCAATAGCTTAGGCATATTTCTAGCTAACTTTTACATCTTAAATTAACCCATTTTTATTAATCTGTCTATTATCATGAGTGGCCTGCAGGTAAATGTTCCAGGGTATCTGTCTCCTTGGCAATTACATGGCATCTTCCTGATTATGCCTTCCTTCTCTCTATGTCTCTATTCAGATTTCCTGCCTAGCTGTACTCTACTAAGCCATTAGCTGAAACAGCTTCTTTAATAACCAATGGTAATAAAACATATTCATAGCATACATAGGGGAAGCCCACATAAAATTATGGGGCCAAGCAAATTGCACTTGTGAAATAGAAAGTTTACAAAAAATAGTGACCATCACTGAGGACTTACTATTATCCTTAAGTTTCAAAGCAGGTTAGGTTCTCTAAAAAGAGGCAAATCCAGAAACAGGGTTAATGTAGAAGATATTTATTTAAATAATGAAAACAAATTAACAAACAAACAAAAACAACAATAAAATGCTGAAGGAACCAGAGGAAGCCCAGAGAACCATCAGATCGCAGCGGGTTCTCTCTTTTTTCTTTCTCTCTCTCCCCCTCCCTCTCTCTCCCACTTACTCCCACTCACCCCTCCTCTAATCTTCTCTCCCCTTGTCCATTTCTCCATAGTCTCACTATATAGCCCAGGCAGGGACTAAAACTCATTATCTCCTGAGTGTTGGAATTATACATATCTAATACCACATCTGGCTATAGTAGTTTCTAACTCCTATGAAGGACAGAGGGAAGGGAGAAAGTGGTAGATCTTAGATCTTAGTGGACTTATAAGGAATTTCTGATAGACATATCCAAAACTGCCAGTTGTCTATGCAGGAATGGACCAGTCTCAGTGTTCCTACTTTGAACTTTCATTTGTTGGTAGCAGCCTGTAGCAGCTAGGGCCTTTCTATGGTAATGTTCCCCACAGTAAGAGGTGATCTGAGAGTAAATTTTTATGACTCCTCCCACATACACATCTTAAAATTCCTATTTTACCAGTACCAACTCTAGCAGTTTAGAGACCTTAAAAAAGACTTCAAGAGTATGCAGTAGGCAACTGGCAAAGCCAGTATAGAATGCAACTAAATTTGGCTCCAAAGCCTGTATGTTTTCACCACTTCTCCTGTCTGGTCTCATCTGGTCTCAGTTATCGTCATAAGTCAGTTCCACGTCAGAAGATGCTAGAATCTCCTGTTCAGCTCTGCCTTTTGATTTCCAAGAAGTCAAAGAAAATAAACAAGCATCAGGTAGCTATGCCCAGAAGAGAACAGAAAAATGATGAGAATTCTGGAAAGTAAGCAGCATAAAAAGACTACTAAAAGAAGCAAAGATATTTTACTACAGTGTGAAAGAGGAAACACAAAGGGAACCCTCATACTTGCTTTCTAACACTTAATCTAAATTTTGTCTTAGATGTGGGGTATCTTGCCCTTAGTCTGAATGCCAGGTTAAGTGTGAAGCAGTTCTGTGGAAATAAAGAAAGTAGGTGTTTCACTCATGCCTTAGAGAAGAGGAACTTGCTGATGTCCCACTGTTCCAGCTTGCTGTGGAATATACACAAAAGGTCCTTGCTAAATGTTTTTGGAATTTGGTAGAATGAGGAAAGAAAAGTTTTGAATAACATATTACTTTTTTCTTTAATGCACTCAACCTTGTCATTTAGAAGTCTACAAAGTAATGGGTTCATTTTTATTCATGCATATATTTTGATAATATTCATTTCTCTTATCTTTTCTTATATCTGCTCTCTTTAATTTCATATCCTTTCCTCCTAAATTAAAATTTGAGTGTGGTTTATTTGGTTTCACATGATGATGTCAATTTCCTGCAAATGACATGATTTCATTCTTTATGGCTAAATAAAATTCCAGTGTGTATATGAGACATATTTTCTTCATCCATCCATCCATTGATTAATACCTGTGGCTGATTCCCTAACTTGGCCATTGAGACATACCTGAGTGCATAGCTATCTTTGTAGTATCTTTGAGCCTTGTACTCAGGTTTGTTATATAGCTAGATGATGTGCAAGTTCTATTTTTAATCTCTTCAGGAATTATCTTATGATTTCTATAGTAGTTGTGCTAATTTACATTCTCTCCAGTGGTGTTTAAGAGTTACACAAGAAAAATAATGCTGTTTCTTTGCCCACTTCCCTATTCTTCCCTCCCACAGTGTGCAACATGGCTTTACAGATAATTTGTACAGTCTGTGTTGGAAGAGAAAATAACTAAAGGCAAGTTGTGGTTTTTGTAAGAATGAAGCAACTCATGAACTTTTTTTTTTCATGTTTCTTTAGGGAATGCTGGTGGAATGTTCTTGAAAAGAAGCCGTGTGAAAAAGCCCGGACAAGAAGTCTTTAAAAGTGAATTTTCAGAATACATCAAGGCTGAGGAGCTCTATATTGGAACCACAGTGAATGTGAATGGCTACCTGTTTCATCTGCTTAATGCTGATGAGTACACCTTAAAGTACATGGAGAATAACACAGACAAGGTGAATACACTGTATATTTCTTGACTCCCTCCCTTCTTCAGTGTGTGTTTCTCTCCCTCTAGGACATTTTCTTCTGCATCTTCCCACTGGTATACTTTGCACATTTACACATGTGGGCATGAATAATGGATCTGTGTGACTTGGCCACAGGTCCCATCACAGAGGCCCGGCCCTTGTCTCTGCTATTTACAGCTTAGCTCTCCTCTGCCCAGCATCACAGATTCCAGACCCTGGCAGGAGGCAGACCCAATACTGAATCAAGTTTCCTGGGTTTTTGCTGATGCCAACAATGTTTGTTAGAAGGCAATGCAATAACTATAGGAAAGGAAGAAACTCTGATGGCACACACTGTACCATCCAAATTAATTGACACAGGATAGCAAAGGAAGTTATGGGTAGAACAGACAGAAACCCCAAAGGAAGCTGTAGTTGCTGAAGTTGCTTAACAGTGACACCTGAAGCTGAAATAAGAATCGAAGAAGAAATTTGCTTCAGTGAACTCATAGAAATATCTTCTTCTTGTTGTATTTTAGTTCTTGAATTAATTTCTTTTTTTTTGAGACATACCTAGCCAGATACCTAGGTTGGCTTTGTCCTCACTGTTTACATGCTGCTATCTTCGCTGCGTGTTGAGATTTCAGGTATGTACCACCACACCCAGCAACAATTTCTTTCTTTTTTTTCCTTTTAAACACTGCCTGGCCCATTAGTTCCAAGCCTCTTATTGGCTAGCTCTTACATATCGATCTAACCCATTTCTAATATCCCTGTAACAGCACAAGGTGTCTTACCAGAGAAGATCTTAACCTGCGTCTGTCTGGAGTGGGAGAATCATGGCGACTCCTGACTCAGCTTTTTTCTCCCAGCATCCTGTTCTGTTTTCTCCACCTACCTAAGGGTTGGCCTATCAAATGGGCCTAGGCAGTTTCTTTATTAATAAGAAATCACTCCCACATCATTTCCCCTTTTTCTGTTTAAATAAAAAAGAAAGGCTTTAACTTTAACATAGTAAAATTACATATAACAAAACAGTTATCAAGTAAAAATTATAATAATCTTTATCATAACTAAGGAAAACTATAACTATAACTAACCATTCTTCAACTCCATCAAAGACTCCAGAAGGATATAATATTACCTAAGTAAACAAGAAATAAGAAAACTCTAGAAATGACAGAGACATCTCGCTGCCTGGACAGTCACCCAAATTTCTTTTGTACCGTTGGGGCATCCATCTTCAGCCTTCAGGCCCATAGTATTCTTAATTGTTTATATTGTTTAATTGAAAATACTGCAGTGGCAAATGGTTACTTTTACTAAAAGTGCTGTGCTGACAATATTGTTCTGTAAAAATCCATGAATATAACTCTTAGTCTTTAAATGTAGACTTGTTCAGCATATAAGCTAGTTGTACTTAGAATTCATTGCTTGTAATTTTGAAAAAAATCAGTTTGAACAATTTTATTTTAAGATTTATTAAATAATTATGCACTATTTATACCCACACAGTGCATACTTTATCTCATTTATAAAGAAAATGACCAGGGTTGAGTTGCTAGGTTTCAAGACAGAGTTAGACCCACACTAGGAATATTAGAGGAAAGACCTCTATGGGATGAAAGGAGAGGCTCAAGAAGACGCAGGGAATGGGAGCTACCTTCAGAGTGCTGTGCAGGTCAGGTCTCATCCTTGTGAAATGAGAAGGCAAAGAAGCAAGGGTGGGTAGGAAGAATGTCAGTGGCTCAGAGGTTAAGAACATTGGCTGCTCTTGCAGAAAATCTGGGTTCAATTCCCAGTACCCACAAGCATCTGTAATGAGATCTGGTGCTCTCTACTGGCATGCAGGCATACATGCAAGCAGAAAACTATATGTATACTAAATAAATAAATAAATAAATAAATAAATAAATAAATAAATAAATCTTTAAAAAACTAGCTAGTACAGTTTAGAGAAAGTCTTAACCAGGATGATGGGGACCCTAGAACAGTGTGCTTATCAGGTAAATGCAGAGTTATGCAGAAGTGACGGTTGAAAGCTGGTAGTTCACAGTGCTCTTCTCAGTACCTCTACTGAGTGCAGCATCTTCCACAGTCACTACACCACCTCTCTGTTTATAGTTTTAGAAATGCAGGTTATTCTAAAACTATAGACCGATACTAGAAGACAACTCTAAACTCATGTGAGAAACATGGTGATTAAGCAGTTAGATTTCCAGAGACCACTAAGCCTGGGTACAAATATGGTCCCCACACTAATACGTGACAGGGTTTTGTAGATGAAAGTTTCTGTCCCACTTGGTCCTGCAGTCATTCAGTCCCAAATAAACACACAGAGTCTTGTATTAATTATAAACTATTTGGCCTATAGCTCAGACTTAACAACTAACAAACTCATATTTTAAGTTAACCCATAATTCTAATCTATGTTTAGCCATGTGGTTTCATACCTTTACTCAGTAAGGCATTCTCATCTTGCCCTCTCTGCATCTGGCTGGTAAATGTGTCTCTGCCTTTCCTCTTCCTAGAATTTTCCTAGTCTGGTCACCATGCCTATACTTCCTGCTTTGTTACTGGCCAATCATCATCTTATGAAACCAATATGAGTGACAAATCTTTACAGTGTATAAACAGACTTTAGTTATGTATGATATCTAAGCTTCGGTCTCCTTGTCTTTGAAATAAGAGTAACAACAGTGCTTGTTTGATAAAGTTGCTACAGAGGTTAAATGTGATAATTTGTGTGAGGGACTTAGCCATATAGGACCCATGGCAAGCTTAGTCATTGTTGCTGTTATAAACCAAAATTCTGGTTTTGAACAGAACCTCTACCTTAACATAAAACATATACTTCTTAACTTAGAATTACTTGACATAGGAGTTTTGACTTCACTGTCATGCAAAAGTGATGTGCTTTCTAATAGAAACTTTAAAATTCTGGGTTTTGTTCCCCTTCCAGCCCTGGCTAGTACGTACTATATAATCCAGTCTTCTTACATGCCATTGGGCATCAGCAGTGAGCTGCAGACCTTAAAAACACTGTAATCATGAAGTGAAATACTCTCCAGTGTGCTGTATTGCTAAGCTTGACATGATCTGTAAGTTAGTTGTAATTGGTACATTTTCAACTTACAGTGGGTGTATTAACACACAAATCACTGTAAATTGAGGATTATCTGTGTATATTAAACCATGCATGTGCCTTTTGCTTTATTCTATTTGCAGTGATAGGAATTGAACCCAGGCCTTGAGCATGCTAAATGAGGACTATTACATTCAGTTATACATCCAGCCAAAACATAATATATAGTTTTAAGATATGAGGGTTTATTTGTCTTTCAGTATGAGAAAGCAGTATAAGACATTACTTAGTATCAGCATCTCAAGTGAAAATTGCATTGCTTTAAAAATGCTCTTAACAGGCCATGCCATGGTGGCGCACGCCTTTAATCCCAGCACTCGGGAGGCAGAGGCAGGTGGATCTCTGTGAGTTCGAGGCCAGCCTGGTCTACAAGAGCTAGTCCAGGACAGGCTCCAAAACCACAGAGAAACCCTGTCTCGAAAAAAAAATGCTCTTAACAAAGGTATTGTAAGAAGATAAAGATTAATACACTCCTTATTACCAGCCTCAGTAGTCTTTTCAAAGGAGCTACCAAATAGATGCTATCATGGAAACACATGAAAGAAAATGCAAAAAAGGAGAGGGCTCAGTAGGTGCCAAACCACCTGGATCATTTGATGGTGGAATAGAGGCAGCTTTATACTAAAATAGTATCAGAACTTTTTTTTTCTAAAATTTCATCTTCTCACTTTTGATCTCTTGTCTGTAATTATTTACAAACTTATGCTTTCTGTAATTGAATAAGGATCATTCTTTCTAAGTAAAAAAGCTAACCACAAAGTAGGAGACAGAAACAGTGGAATGCCTAGACAACAAATGTATTTAGGTTACAGTGGTTTTGCAGAACTTTGACACCGAGCTTTGTTATGATCAGTACTTTGCCTGGTGGCCAGCCATTCGAATGATCAAGAGAAAGTAGGTGTACATTTAGCCAGCTCTAAATCTCTTTTTCTTTCCATCAGGGTCAGCTAAAATATCAAGGTTAAGTGTGAGAGTTAGAGGAAGGCTAAGATTGTTTAGTAAACTTTGTTACCTGCTATCCCTTAAGTTCAATTGTTTGAGATCTAGGGCCTAGAATAATGGCAACCCTTTTCCTAAATCTTTCATTCAAAAGATAACAAGGCTAGTTATTTCTTGTGCAGATTTGTTTCTAGTTAAAGACACGTGCAGTTTACGTTGGGTTTACCATGTAGTCCTGTTGGTCTCCAATACCCTCCTAAGGTACAGGGAATAAGAAACTTCAGAATGTTCAGCTGTGAATGGAACATACATATCAGAAGCCTTCTTCAGGCTCAGGCGTCATTGTGGAAGGAGGAAGAAAGATTGCAAGAGCCAGTCAGAGACCATGGATAAGTGGGAACCAGTGTCTTCTGGGAACAACAGAGCAACTTCACTGTGAGCTCACAGTGGTTGTCATAGCATTCATAAGACCTGTGTAAGCCCAAGGCAGACCAAATTCCAGCATGGAAAGTGGAGTTGTGCATGAAATTCTACCACCAGCTCTGGAACTATTGATAACTGTTAGCTGCTAAGAGAAGGAGAGCCAGTCAGGAGAACGGGAAGAAGGGAGGGAGGGGAAACTGTGGTTATATGTAAAATTAATAAAAAAAATTTAAAATAAAAAGTATAGTCTCTGGTAAGTCAGCCACACTTGAGTGTAAGGTCACAGATAAAAAAAAATGGATAGCACAAATTGGTCTTGATTAGTTAAGAACAAGAAAAAGAACACAGTTGGGTAAGTAGGGAAGATAGGAGGACTTGAGAAGAGTCAGGGAAGAGGTAAAATGTGATCAAACCACAGTGTATAAAATCCTCAAAGAACTAACATTGAGAATGATGGTTATGGTTGCGGTGATGGTGATGATGATGATATAATGACCTCCTGGTCTCATGCGCATGTCTTGTTTTTACTCCTTCAAGTATCCATACAGCAACTTTGAACTTGTCATACAAAAGCTGAAAGAAGAAAAATCTAAGTCAAGAGAGATCAAGCAGATATTTTCGGCTGCTGACCATAACCACACAAAGGTGTTGCCTTTTAATACATTCAGGTAAGCTGTATTCTTCTAGCATGGATCTGTTTTTCCCAAAGAATAGAAAGAACCCTTTCATTCCTAGTGTTTCCCAATCAGTTGGCTACATGGGTTTTTATTAAAGATTGGTATTTATTTGTCTTTGTATTACTTTGTATTTAAGGTTTGACTGTGATGTCCTAATAAGTTTTATGCAATTATATACAAGACATTTAGAGGGAGGAATGGAGACAATAGCCAGTTACTGATGATCAGAGAAAAGGCCATATTTTATTTGAATGTCTGTATCTTCAATTGCATCTGAATTCCAAAAGACAAAAGACAGGCATCAGAGACTTTGTCTCAATTCCCCTCAATTTTCCTGTCGTGCTATATATGAGTACTGAGAAGTATCATATGAAATCATGAACAATATTTTCTCAAAGGTAAAGTTGAATTCTGAAATTTCCCAGTAGCTGACCTAGGCAAATTCCCAAAGAACAGAAACACAGGGAAATTCAAGTTCAGGGTCTAGTACAATTGTGAGGACTCTTTGCTAGAAAACAAAGTGAATGGAGTGTTTAGGAGAATGTAAATTAAATCATGGATGGAGGACAAAGAGGATTTTCTCTTTAGCTCGAGATTTCTAGCTTTTGAAAAGAATAAGTAGTTAAAAGCTATATATTGGGCTTAATACAGTCAAGATGTAGCCTGGGAAATGAAGATAGGAACTCAGGTAAGAATGGCAATGTGGACTTTCCAAATTTGTGTTTACAGTTGCTTGTTGGCATCACTACCTGGTAGTCTGGAGCCTATAATGAGGCCTTATGTTTTCTAGGAGTTTATTTGTTGTTATAACAAAGCTCTTTTGTGTCTTCAAAGTGTTCTCTTGAGAGGAGCTTGCAGAAGGCATATTTTTATTGTTTAGAATTGCCAACTTTCTGGGATCAATAAGAATTTACAGTTCTTTATTATTCTGCATCATCATATACATATGGTCCTGGTGCTCTGGAATAGAAATGGAGACAAAGCAAACAGCGAAGACAATTACTCAGACCATGAACTAATGGGAAACACTGGAGGAGAAAACAAGAAATTTCCTTCAGAAACGAGGGAGTGCTTTTTTTTTTTTTTTTTTTTTTTTTTACTATTTTGTGTCCTTTTATAAAAGCATTGGTCCTCCTAGTACTCTCAAAAGACTATTGGAAATATTTTAGCAAGTTCACAGGGCCTTTTGGGAAGTACTTTGGCCAGGAAGGATTTCCTAGGAAGAGAAATTGGTCTGCAAATAGAGGCCTCATCCTAATTGTAGATGTGATAAAGGAACAGCAACTGTATAATTAGAATAACAGCTACCAGGTACTGTGGGCTTACAAAAAACAACCACCACCACCAAAAAACCACCAGCCTCTACATCCTAGACATTCCATAGCATGAACTCCAGCCTCAGGTTATCACAGGCCTGAAAAACTTTTCAGTAGCTTGTTTGACTGCAGCCAACAGAACTTGAGCAACGGGACTTTTATTTTATTTGTTAGAACTGGTAGGGCTATCCAGTGAAGACTGAATATGCCTGTGTTTATTTTCCATATGCTTATACACTTCAATCCAAAAATTGGGGAAGAAGGAAAAAGAGTGTTTTAACATGACACAAAGTACAAACAGAACAATCACCTGCTTCAATACTTGAGACATCAAGCCACTATTTCCTGAGTTAAGCATTCTGATGTTTTAGACAGGACATGCAGTGACTACACCTTAGGCCAAGTTTCCTGTCGGCAGCCACTCCCTGGGTCAAATCTCCTGTCTTATCCTTATAGGAGCAAGAATAGGTTTGAATCTTCTTATGTTTGATGACCAAGGTGGAACAGATCCACTTCCATGGGCCATCTTAATACCCAAACACCAAGTAACCACACACTAAGTCAAGGGATGTTGTTTGTAGCCACTCCTTAAGTCAGACTTCTGTCAATGACTTTGAAAGAGCAGGAGTAGGCTTAAGCTCTCTGACCTTCAGTCAACATGGAGCAGACCCATTTCTATGGGCCCCACAAGAGGGTTTCCTTTTTGTTTGTCCAAGAAGGGTTAGTGATTAGTTCTAGGCCTGAAGTATAAGTCAGAGTTCCTCATAACCGACCTGGAGTTTTAGCTAGAGTGCATAGTGTGGTTAGTGGCCATCGTGCCGGCTTCTTCATAAATACACAATGCAGAAAGGGTGAAATATGGTAAAAAAAAAACAAAAAACAAAAAACAAAACACTACCAAATCCACTCATTAGCCAGGTAGTGGTTGCACACACCCTTAATCCTAGCACTTGTGAGGCAGAAGGAGTTGGATCTCTATGAGTTCAAGGCCAGCCTGGTCTACAGAGTGAGTTCCAGAACAGCCACTGCAACACAAAGAAATTCTATCTCAAAAAACCAAAACAAATCCATTCATTAAAAATATTGTCTATAAATCAGACTGGCAAAAGCTATTATTTTTATATTCCATGCCATCACTTCTTTTTCTGTTGGCCTCACTAGTTACCTTTTAATTTTTCAAACATATCAAGTTCTATACACAAAGTTCTCTCTGCCTGGAAGGACCTTACCACTTTCCTTTCCAGGGAAAATTCTAGGACTTTTTATTACCAGAGTATTTGTTTCTGTCCGACAACCCTAAGTAAATACCCACTGTTATTCTTAGCCCTTTGCTTATATTTCTTCACAGCATATAACACAGTTTGTAATTATTTTACTTAGAGAATTGTTTACTTGGAGGAGTGATGATGTGTGTGTGTGTGTGTGTGTGTGTGTACTTGGGTGTTTTTTTATTCTAATAGAAAATGTAAGAACCTTGATAATCTTGTACACTACAGTATCCCTGGGCTTCCAGTGCTAAGCTCCATTTAGACACAGTCACTGAATGACATGAGCCACTAGGATTATTTCTGGATGGTCTAGTTTGGAGGTGGCTGCATGATCCTTATATTAGTCAGTTTTCCATTGCAACAATATAATACCTGATGCTGAGTAATATATGAAGAAAGGAGATTTAGTTAGCTCCTTAAAAGAGCTCATGAGAAAGCCATGAAAACCATATCCCTCTCTTCCTCAGGCAGTGCCTTCAATGACCTAACCACCTCCTATTAGGCCTCATCTTTTAAAGATTCTTACTACCTCTCACATTATTGCACTTGGAAAGGAATCAAACTTCCAACATGGAGAATATTGCATCTAAACCACAACAGTTTCCAAATTAGGGCATATACTGGGAGTCAGTATGATCTGGTCCAGGTTACATCTTTAGGTTCCACACTGAGTTCCTGGGCGTGGACCTCTTCCATCAGTACTTCGTTTGCAAGTGTAGGTCCCTACCCATCTTCATCAGTATGCTCTTTTGCTTTCCATATCCTAGTCTGGGTAATGACAAAGGAACTCCATAGCCAGTCATTTCATATCAAACATTTTAATGTTTTACTCCATGCTTTTACTAGCTAGTATTTTTATATGTGTATGTATTTGTATACATTCTGGATTATTTCTCTTTTATCTAACCTCATGGAGAGTAGGAACCTTTGGTTTCTTGCCTTCTACTTTAGCCATGGCATTTGTCATAGTGTTGAGCAAATAGTAAGGAATTTATAAATGTTAAGTGGCTACCTTTTCTCTAGTCATGACTACTTTGCTTCTGACATAGAGATGTTCCAGTTGACATCTAGGTATTAATTAATTCCTCAAACTTATTGGTCTCTTGAACTGTACAGACCTTGAAATAGGAGTGTCTTTGAACCTTCTCCTATTGGATGTTCCTTAGGCATCTGTAGAGAACCTTTTTTTTAAGATAAATTTATTTATTTGCTTATTTCTTTCTTTGTGTGTGTGTGTGTGTGTGTGTGTGTGAGAGAGAGAGAGAGAGAGAGAGAGAGAGAGAGAGAGAGAGAGAGAGAGAGAGAGGAGATTATGTATACTATACTATGTAGCATATAGGAGCCCGTGGAAGCCAGGAAAGGGCATAGGGTCCCCTATAACTGTACTTACAGGCAGTTGTAAGCTGACTTGTTGGTGCTAGGAACTGAACCCAGGTCTTCTTTTTTTTTTTAAATTTTTTTAAAAATTTTTTTTAGATTCATTTATTTTGTTTACAGTGTTCTGTCTGCATGTATGCCTGCAGGCCAGAAGAGGGCACCAGATTTCATGACAGGTGATTGTGAGCCACCATGTGGTTGCTGGGAATTGAACTCAGGACCTTTGGAAGAACAATCAGTGCTCTTAACCTCTGAGCCATTTCGCCAGCTCCCTTGGACCCAGGTCTTCTATAAGAGCAATAAGTACTCTTGACCACTCAGGCATCTCTGCAACCCTGTGACTTTATTTTTCTCCATTACATTGCACCTGAGGACCAAATTCTAGTAAAGCCCACGTTATGTGTTGTAGGGCCAGGTGAGGGATCTTCCTGGTGTCTTTTCTCCATCTAATCCCTGTGTTTCCCCCTCATCTTTGGAATTGCATTTCTTACCCTCTAGAAAGGTTCCTTACTTTCTATCTAAAATCCCATCATTGTCCTGATGTTTGGAGAACTGAGAAAGTGATCTTCCTTTTAAGAGTTCCATTCTGCAAAGTTTTCCCAAGTGACCCTCTTCAGATGTGATTAGGCCATTCCTCTCTTTAAAGCTTGCTTAACTCCCTGTTATCTCTGGGACAAATCCTAGCCACTCAGTGTATCATGTGAGTTTGGTCACAGTCTGTTCCTTGCCTACCACTTTATTTTCAGCTTGTTAGCATAAAATTTTTTAGAAGCCACCATTTATTGAGTACTTAATGTGGGCTAATAGATGTACTGAACTGTTTTCAATTTCCTTTGTACTGGGAGATCCCTGCTGTTCCTTATTTCATTTTCTTCTTCCATGGGCCTGCCAAGTACAATAGATGTTTACTGAATAATTTAATGAATGATTCTATTTCTCTATCAATGTTAAGTCTAAAGCTTCCTGAAGATAGATAAATAATTGACATCATGGAAGGGCCATATGTCTCTGGCTTAATGATGGCAGGGAA